TCCTGCAAAACAGTGCCCTGCCAGTCTGGAAACAAGACCACAGCAAGCACCGACCTGGGTTAGAACAAGTGTGGGCAGGCTGTGAGCCGAGTCCTGTTTCCACAACTTCTCTACCCACTGCTCCACTTCCTAGTTTATAGAGAGGTCACTGGCCACGGGTGCTGACAAGAAGGAGGTGGAAGTCTCATCATAAATCCCCTGCAGCTGTTCCCCACCCAGCTAGTCTTCTCCAGTGGAGGGGAGGCAGTACGGTCTGAAGTTTAAGAGTACTGACTTGGGGCCTGCCCAGTGTGGCTCAGTGGTTGAGCATCAGCCTATGAACCAGAAGGTCATGGTTCAGTTCCTAGTCGTGGTCATATGCCCGGGTTGTGAGCTTGATTCCTAGTGTGGGGCATGCAGAAGGCAATCGATGATTCTCTTTCACCATTGATGTTTCTATATCTCTCTCCCTCTCCCTTTCTCCCTGAAATCAATATATATATATATATCACATATATGTGTATGTGTGTGTATATATATATGTGTGTGTGTGTGTGTGTGTGTGTGTGTGTGTGTGTGTGTGTGTGTTTATTATTTTTTAAGAGCACTGACTTGGGAGTTAGGCAGACCCAGGCTCAAGACTCAACCAGTTTCTACCTGTGTGACCTCAGAGAAAAGTCTTAGCCTCTCTGAGCTTCAGTTTCCTTACCTGTATATGAAGATAATGATTCCTCTTTTGTGGGATCATTGAAATAACTAAATGCAATAAGTCTTGTAAAACACTTAGCTCAGTGCTTGACTCAAAATGCCCATTCTATGGCAGCTGGGGCAAACTAGGCTTCCCAGGATGTCAACCCTGAGAGCCTCTCATACTCAGAAAGGAGGATTTTAAATGGCCAAGGGCATTTATTGCTGCGTTGCTGGACTCAGAAGGTAGAAATGATCTTCCTTGTGGTTAAGAGCACCAGCTTTTCTGTTGTGAGACTCTGCGCAAGTTACTTAGAATCTCTTTAGACGTCAGGTCCCTCATCTGTGAAATTGGCATTATGATAATTTAGTTTAATTAATAAAGCTATAATTAAACTAACTTAAGTTAGTAATAGAAGTGACTTATCTATACTCACTGTCTCCACTTCCTCACTCCCAATTCTCTCTTCTCAAGAGAGAATTTTGTACTCACATTCCACTGAAACCTCTTGTCTAGCTCACCGATGCCTCCATGTTGCCAAATCCAATGGTCCCTTTTTAATTTATTTTTCAATTATAGCTGTCATTCAGTATTATTTTATGTTAGTTTCAGGTATACAGCATAGTGGTTAGAATTTATAAAGTGAGTTTCCTGATAAATCTAGTACCCACCTGGCCCCATACATAATTATTACAATACTATTGACTATATTCCCTGTGCTATACATTACATCCCCATAATTATTTTGTAACTACCAGTCCTTCACCGTTTTCATACAGTCTTCCAACCCCCTTCCCCTCTGATAACTGTCAGTTTGTATCTCTGCGTTTCTGTTTGTTCTTTAGAGTCTGTGATTTCACATGCAAGTGAAATCATTTATTTGTCTTTCTCTGACTTATGTCACTTAGCATAATGCCATGTTGTCACAAATGGTAAGATTTTGTTGTTTTTTATGGCTAAGTAATATTCCATGGTATATATGTAGCCCATCTTCTTTCTCAGTGGTCACTTTTCAATCTCTATCTCTGACACAGCCTATCACTCCTTCCTTTTTTCACTTGATTTAGGGACATTCCCCATGTATGGTTCGCCACAGTTCCTTAGCAGGCAACACATCTTCCCAGTATTCACTTGTTGGAGGGCCCCAAGGCTACATTCTCTTCTTAGTTCACTCCTGGGTGATCTTTATGAAGCCAGTGGCTTTGGATCAAGTGTACACACTGACGGATCCTATAACTCTGTCTCCAGTGCAGACCTCTCCCCTGAGTGCCCATTCACAAACCCAGTGCAACTTTGGCCTACACATGTGATTGTCTAATATACCTGACGAGCCTGTCAAATTGAACCTGCCTAAAATAGCTCATCCTTTTGCCCGCGTTTCTCTGTACCCAAATTGCTTCTTCCTTGGGTTTCTCTATTTCCAAGAATGGTACCAGTTGTTCAGGTGAGATGCTGGAGAGTCTCCTTGAGTCTTCTCTCCACATCCTACATTCAGTCCATCAATAAGTTCTTCTAGGGATACTTGAAAATGCATCCTAAATCTGGTTACTTCCCACCCCATCAGTTTAAGGCACCCCTCCCCGCCCAGCCCCTACCCCCCATTTCTCACTGACCTCCTGCCATGGCTCCTAACTTCTCACTCCCACTTTCACTCTTGCCCCCCTATTGTGGGAATGGTCTGTTCAGCACACAGCAGCCAGAATTATCTCTTTAAAAAAGGAAATCAATCATGTTAATCCCCTGTCAAAACTTGCCAGTGGCTTCACATTGCAACCAAAACTTCCAAGCCCTTTGTGATCAGCCCATCCCATCACTGACCCTACCATTCTCATCTCCTTCCCCTCCTCCCATTCCCTCAGCTTCAGCTGAACCAGAGCCAAAGTGGTCCTGCTGCAGGCCTCTGCATTTGTGGTATCTTCTGTCGGGAACACTCCTTCATGTGCACCTTTGCAAGCTTGCTCCCTCATTTCATTCAGCTCAAATGTCACCACCCCAAAGAAGTCCCCTGATCTCCCTCCCTAAATTATTCTCTTTTCCTCAAGTCACCTTACCCTCTTACCATCCTTATTTTTCTACAAAGTATTTATCTGCATCTAAAGTTTTATATATATATATTTGCTTGTTTGTTTGTTGTTCAAAGCCCTCCCTAAAATGATGTGAGGGTGTGAACAGGGTCTTGTACAGGGCTGCATCCCCTTGCCTAAAAAAGTGCTAACTAAGCGTGTAGAAGGCACTCACATGTGCTAAAGGAATGAATGATAATTACCTGCCTCAAAGGGCTGATGTAAGAACTCAGTGCAGTGATGTGTATAAAGCCCTTACTTAGCTTGGTGCCCGGCACACAGTAGGACCTCGATAAATGCTAGCTATCACTATTAACAAATCCTCTTAGAAGGAGACCATCCTGAACAATCGCCCCAGACACCACCCCTTTCAGACGGAGGGCTCTGTAGTCACTCCGAGATCCTGTGGGCAAGGCCCCCCATGGGGCTGCGTGTGCTGGGCCTCGGTTCTGAGGGGCCACAGCAGCCCCCTTATCAGATGTTTGTGTTTAGACTCTGAAGGGGGCAAATAACTCTAGTTCCTTTGACAACATTTAGGGCCCTGTCACCATTTTATTATGTGAGCAAACATTTGATAGCTGGGAAAGCCCATCCTAATGACAGGTCATAGAATCTCGCTGGCGTCTCCTTATCTGCCCTCTTGTTTGCTCTTCTATTGAAACCCGCAAGGTCACAAGCCATTTTCTCTCTCCTCCACCTGAAATCTGAAAATTGGAAAGAGGCTGATAGTGGGAAGTAAAGAGACTCGAGAGTGGGGGTGGGTGGCGGGAGGAAGAGCAGGCAAAGGGTATCAGAGGACCCTGAGCAGGGCCTCAAGAATGTAAAAGGGTCAGAAACCTGCCTTGTCACACGAATGTACAGCTCCTCCCGCTCTGAAGGGCACGCAGAGCAGCATGGTGAGGCACCCTGTACAGCAGTCTTAATGAGAACAGTTACCCCGAGCACCAGTCTGAGTACTTCCTGCGTATCAGCTCATCTAATCCCTCAGCAGCCTCCGCTTTATAGGTGAGGAAACTGAGGCACAGAGAGAGGCACAAGGGCTCAAAGCTAGTCGAAGGCTCCTTACCTTAGCGCGTCATAGGAAGAACACGTGGGTTCAAACCCCAGAATGGGTTCGAATCTGGCTCCAGTCCCTCATAATTGTGAAATCTGGGGTAATTCACCGACTCTCCCTGAGTCCTGCTTTCCTAATCTGTAAAATGGACATAACGGCAACCTCACTGAGGGTTATGGTTGCAAGTACTGATTAATGAAATGATAATGGGATAGGAGGCCTATACTGGTCGTGGTAGGTGCATGTGTGTGTGTGTGATTGAGGGGGAGTCTTGAGAGAATAAGCCAAAAGGCAGAACCTTCCCCTGAGATGCCAACACAAGTGAAAGGGAAGGCGGAGACAGAGGGAAACAGAAAAAGGACTCCTTGGAAGGAAAAGGAGAGGAATGATGTTCCACGACAGTTGAAATGAATGAGGCCCGGGGCTCTGGAAAGGAGCCTGCCCGGTGGTGGGGGTGTGGCTCCTCTCGCAGGCTTTCCCTGTCCGTTCTGGGGTCTCTCCCCACCGCCCCAGCCCACCGGAAGCCTGGCATCAGAAGCCTTCAGCCCTTGGGTTTCTTTCCCAACTCTCTGAGTTGCTTGCCCTCGTAGTAATGAGCCTTAGAGAGCACTTTGTAGTTTCCCGCGCTCCTTCCCTGATAAATCACCGGAGTAAGTGCTGTTTTTCTCATGTGCTTTATGACCTTGTTGCTCAAAATAGATCAGCAGCACAGCACAACCTGGGAGCTAATTAGGAATGCAGGTTCTTAGGCCCACTGAGTCAGAATCTCCATCTTAACAGGATCTCTGGCCCTCATATTCATGTTTGGGAACCAGTGTTCTCAGGGGCCCTGCTCTTGGAGGTCTCACTTCTATGAGAGGCAAGAGCTGCCCATCCAGCTGCTGTTGCAACCACACTGAGCTCCTTATAAACACCGCTCTCACAGAAAGGGAGCCCAAGCTCAGGATAAAGGTCAGCGAGTTGCAACTATTGCAAGGTCTGCAGCAATTCACTTCTCTCTTCTGAAGTGGCCGGGAAAGCCGGCTGGCAGGTTTTGCTAAAGGAAATGTGCTTCAGGACCAGCACCCCAGAACTGAGCAGACACTCCGTCCTCAGCCCTCCACTCCCAGCTCTTTGCCGGCCGAGTTGGGTCTCAACTCCCCTACGGAAGCCAAACTAATGGCCCATGTCCCTGCCAGTTGCACACAGCTGAGCTCTCTGTCCTTTCTCTCTGCAGTGCCCTCTCCAAGCCTGGTGACACCCACACATCCCTTACTTTGCGCACAGCAACAAGGATCCTATTCTCCACACCATCACTCTCCGGGCAGCTGTCATGGAAAAGCCCAGTGGCCTGACAAGCACCTGCAAGAGGTCCCTGCTCACCTGACATCCTGCCGGTACCTCGGACAGTCCGTTCTCAGGAGGCGCAGCCCGAAGCCCAGCTTCTCTTCCATGCAGTATTGTCACGATGCCTCTCCCAAGATGTCAAGTCCTCCTGTCCGACCCAGAGGTGGGAGAAGAAACCACGGAAGAGGAAGAGAGAAAGCCGTAGTGTCTACATTGTGCTCCTTCATCGAACAAACTGATGTGAAAACTTGAATCTGTTACTGAAATGAGGAGAGGAGGACACGTGCTATATTGAACTGAGCCAAACACACTGTAAATATCAGCACTCCCTCCCCCACCCCTATCCCCACTGATCTTGAGATTTCTTTTAAAGAAGTAAATTTGTCCAATGGGTGTAAACTATAAACTACTGTAATTAAGTGCAATTTCCCCTGCACTTCCTTGCCCCTCTGCCGTGTATATAATACTAAAGTATCTATTAGTTTTCTTTGTAAAGGTCAGAGTTGAATTTTTCAAAGTGATTTCCCCCCTTTTCCTTCCCGTATGGAGAAATACCCTACATCGGAAGTGCAGCCTTTGCCCCTCTCTCATGCCTGGACACGCACAGGGACACTGTGTATTTTGGACTGACTGCCCACTAACTCCAGCCTCCTGATGTTAAGACACACCTCTGGATCCCTGGAGGGGGCCGAACATAGTGTCAGAGTAACGTCCTAGCGTCTGGTGGGGCTAAGGGTTCAGCCAGTACACCCCCAAGAAACCCCAAGGCAGGGAAACTGGCTGTTTGATAGCATAAGAAAAAGTTGTCCTTTCAGAAAGCCTCCCATTAAAACTATTTTATCACTGCCCAGAGTTTCTTATTTCTGTCTCTGACACTTCCCCTGCCGCCATTCTACGGAGGACCCCTGGCCTCGCCGCCTTGGAATTTTCCACTTACTCCACTGGGCTCCCTGCTGCCTGTCCCCATGTCTTTGCACTGCCTTTACTGCTAAGGTAAGAATAGTTCATTCTCCCAGCCAGACTCCACAAATCCATCAGAGGGAATCTAGTAAGAGCAGGAGAGAACACCTCTTTCTTCTCTGCAATTCACAGGAGTAAAGTGATAGAGCCTATTCTTGGTGACTGTGGTCATAGGAACAGATGGAAACCCTGTGAGCCACTTTTTCAGCCACAGCTTAAACATTAATTCCAGTTTTTCCTCCCTTCTGTAGGGCTGTCAATCACTAGGAGAGTGGGCACCTGTGGGTGTCGCCTTCTGCCCGGTTTCCCTCTCTAGTAGAGATGCTAATGGATACAAATAGTCCAAAAGGGGAAAAGCTGAAGGCCTGGACACTCTGCTAGCAGGGACTTTGCCATAAATAATCCAGCGTTGACTCAGGAAGAAGGATAATGGACCTGCTCTCTTGGCTGTCTCCTCTTGTGTACAACATAGATCTACCAGCATTTCTCACTTCTTGTGGTTTCTTGCTTTAAAATGGAATATGTCCTAGTCAACATGTAAGCAAGGCCCCAAGCAACAGGTTTTTAAAAATTCCAGTTTAGTGGGAGATGCAATTCTCAGTGAGCCAGACAAATTTACTGAGTACCTACTATGTGCCCGCGGCAGGGACGAATGGATATGGAAATGCTGACCTCTTTGGTTCCTGGCTCCCCTAAACAATGTAATTTGGGCTGAAGTAGTCCAGAGCAAACTCATGGTTGGGTTGAGATGGCTGAGGCCAAGACCAAGCACCATGTGTCAAGAGAGGCCAAGATCCCCTGTCACTAGTTGAGATGGCCTGTGAGTTCCAGGAAGAGGAAGGGAATATAAGCCTCAATCACCAGTCTCAATTGAGGCCCTGTTTCTGGACTCATGTTGTTTCTGGAATAGCAAGTATCGGCTTTGATAGATGTTAGATCTTGCATTGTTGTGATGGCTTTGAGAATTCAGAAAGTTATATTCATCCAAGTTATATTCATCTAGGCAGAGGTGGAGGTGGGAGGGAGGATGGATGGGTTGGGAAGGTCTTTAGGGACCAAATCCTATATAAACAAAGGCATGTAGAAAATGACCCTATCAACTGAAAGCTCCCAAGAAGGTTAGCACCTTCCTTCTAATCAAACAGGGACCAATTGTTGCAGCCACTACGAAAAACAGTATGGAGCTTCCTTTAAAAATTAAAAATAGAACCACCTGATGACCCAGCAATTCCATTTCTGGGCATTTACCTGAAGAAACCCAAAGCACTAAATTGAAAAGATATATGCACGCCTATGTTCATAGTAATGTTATTCACAAAAGTCAAGATGTGGAAGCAACCTAAATGTCCATCAATAGATGATTGTATAAAGCTGTGGTACATATTTACAACGGAATATGATTCAGCCCTAAAAAGAATGAAATCTTACCATTTGTGACAACATGGATGAACCTAGAGTATATTGTGCCAAGTGAAATAAGTCAGACAGAAAAAGACAAATACCATATGGTTTCACTTATATGTGGAATCTAAAGAACAAAATAAAATAGAAACAGACTCATAGAAACAAAGAACAAACTGTCGGTTGCCAGATGCAAGGGGGCTTGGAGGGATAGGTGAAAAGGTGAAGGGATTAAGAAGTACAAATTGGTAGTTACGAAATAATCATGAAGATGTAAAGTACAGCGTAGGGAATATGTCAATAATATAATAACGATGTATGGGGCTAGCTAGCCGGATACTGAACTTATCAGGGGAGTCACTTCATAAGTTATACGTAATCACTATGCTATGCACCCGAAACTAATGTAATATTGAATAGTAACTGTAATTGAAAAATAAATAAAACAGGGACCTTCCTCCACTGTCCCCAAGCAGGACGAGGAGGTCTGCTGTGTATGGGCCCAGGTGGGTATTACCCACTCTGAAGATTCATTTGCAACTGAAAACCCCCATACCTTCCTCCGCACCTTATGGACCAACATTTCCAGGGTCTCTCTTTACACCCTGCGCCCAGGTTAACTGACAGGTAGTTCCTTTTCACCATGACCGGCTGTCATTTTCTAGGATGAGCTTTAGGGAAGGCAGATTTCATTTTAACATCCATGGATAAGAAATAAAATTAGGAATGAAAAATCTGCCTTAAAATGTATTAAATTTTTCTATGCCAAACAGTGGATTATTGTCCCCCAAAGCAGAGATAACTGGAATATTAGTTGCTGAGTTCAGGTGGATAAAAACACAATGTAGATAGCCAGGGAATGTGAGCTCTTGGCCCCCAGTTGGGGGCAGGTCTTTGATATTCATTTTGGAGCCTGAAAGCCTTGATTAGAATCTTCAGCTCCACCACCTAACCGGTATTCATTGTCCTCCTGCATAAAGTTGGGTGATAATAATAGCACCTGCTGTATAAGGTGGTTTGAGGTGTCAATGAGTTGCCTAGTGTGTCATTGAGTGCCGGGTGTTCATATTCTTTCATGCCAAAATGCCTTCTCATGTAGTCTTCTAGGTCTGGTTGATCTTTCTAGATAACCTCATCACAAATTGGATGCTTGGTAAAGAAAACTGCTAATAATTAGTTAAATGATTTTGTTCATTTCTGGGATGTGTAGCAAACCCAGCAGTGAACCAAGAATGAGGAAGAAAGGGGATGTCTGAGGACAGGGGAAGGCTTTGTCTCTTTAGGGAAAGAAGAAAGTAGGATGTAGTGATCTTGCAATGAGGGCCAGGGAGAGCCAGGAAGCTGGGGACTAAAGCTGGCTGTGTGCTCCAAAGGATGGGTGGAGGAGTAGTGCCGGGAGCACGGAAGGGTGTGACTCAAGAGGAGAGAGGCAAGGGTGAACTTCTTCCAAGGAAAATCAGGGCACTTATGTGTCCCCTTTGCATGAGGAGTTAATTCAAACAAATGCCATTGAAATCTCTGGAAAAATAAGAGATTGCCAATAATGGACCACACTGTGGCATATGTCGTATTCAAGTCTTAGCACTTCAAACTGTCCCAATTACATCATACAGGCTGAATATTCATGAGAAATTGCAATTAGCTGAACCAAATGCCTTAAAGCCTCTCTCTCTCTCTCTCTCTCTCTCTCTCTCTCTCTCTCCCTCTCTCTCTCTCTCTCTCTCTCTCGTCAAATACTAGATTGTCAGCTAAGATTTATAACTTGACTGTATTTTATAAATGAATCTCTGGAGTGTGCAGGACTTTACATGCGCTGCGATAACCGTTTTTTCCTGGGTGCATGTGAAGTGCTATGTGCAGGAATATAGAGGAAACACCAGGGACAAGGAGCAGAGCGAACATGAGGGGGACAGCCTCAACAGCAGGAATCGTCAGAGCAGCTTTCCTGCATATGTATGTTTATGGCAACAGATCATGTAATACAAATAAACACCAGATATTTCTTCACTGTTTCCACATATTTAATTTTTTCACCAGATACACACTGTTATGTTCCCAAAAGGTGGGTTTCTTTCCTGTGCCCTATTCTCCAGACATCCTTAATAAGCCAATTATATTAAATTATTCCCAATTATGAGAAGGATCAAAAGATAAAGCGAATCTTTTAAAAGAGACAAACCCAAAACCCCACACTATGGAAAACAGGCCTGATTTCCTGAGTTACTATAAGACCTTCTGCGTATCTCTGCTTTTGGAAACATCATCTAGTCCAGAATAATGTTTTTTGTTTATTCACTTATTTATTTAAGAAATATTTACTGACACCTACTGTGTTCCAGGCATCCTGGTTCTAGACACTGAGGGTACCTCAGTGAGCTGAATAGATAAAAACCTGCCCTCATGAAATTCACATTCTAGTGAGGGGAAAAGGCAATAACGTGTGTGTGTGTGTGTGTGTACACGCGTGTGCATGTCAGGTGATAAAAATGTCTATGAAAAATAAAACAGGGCAAAGGGGTGCTGGCAGTGGGGGCAGTCATTTGAAACAGGGTGGCCAAGGAAGGCTCACTGAGAAAGTGGCATCCAAGAACTCTGGGGTTGCCATGTGGACACCTGGGAGGAGAGCGTTCCAGGCAGAGGGAACAGCCAGGACAGAGGCCCTGAGACAGGAACAGAAAGGCAGGGAGGCTAGAGGAGCTGGAGCTGCGTGAGGGAGAATGGAAGGTCAGGGAAGTGAGCAGTGCTGGGGCATGAAGACATATGGCACAGGGCCTTGTCACCATTTGTAAGGACTGCCGTAAGCTGCTGTCAGGACTTTGGGTTTTATTCTGAGGGAGCTGGGGGAGCCATCGGAGAGTTTTGTGCAGAGCAGGGATAAGATTGGACTTATGCTTTAAAGGGATCCCTCTGGCTGCTGAGTTGTAGGGAGGGGCCAAGAGAGACAGCAAAGAGACCCACCATCAGGAAGCCCATTTCCATCACCCAACCTGTGGGCGGGGCATGGAGGTGATGAGAGGCCATCTGATTCTGGATGTTATTTTGAAGGTAGAGAATTCTAAGGCACCAGGATTTCCTGATGGTTTAGATGTGGGATGTAAGAAGGAAAAGCATCAAGGATGATTCTGGGGTTTGGGGCCTGAACAGAGTAGGAAGCAGAAATGGATGCTGTAGAAAATGAGAAACAGTATTGCCCGAACATAGGTTCTATCTCAGTTATGTTTGAAAGTGGTACTTTAGGAAGCATCTTGGTAGTAAGGGAAGCTGTGATGTCTGCTATTATCAGATCTCTGATAGGATATCAGGACTCTCCAGGTGACAGTAAGATGACATTTCATCATTCCTCCGACAAGTGTTTATTGAGTGTTCATCATATGCTACATACTCTTCTAGGCATGGGGAGAAAAGCAGTTTTTAAAATGTCACTTTGTCCATGGAGCTTCCATTCAACTGGGAGGGAACCAACAATAACTGACCAAGTACACAAAACATGCCAGCTACTGATAGGTACTAGAGAGAAAAACAAAGCAGAGAAAGGGCACAGAAGCAGAAGGAGGTAGATGCATTTTTTTTAGGGGCATCTCTATACCCTTGCTTTCCAAGGCAGGATTTCTTTTGGGCATCCAGGCTAAAAAGACACAAGAGTGCATATTTCTGAATCACCTACGCTAGTGGTTAAAAACCTATTCCCTGTGCTGCTTCCGTATCCCAGAGCAGCGGTTCTCAACCTGTGGGTCGCGACCCCTTTGGCGGTCGAACGACCCTTTCACAGGGGTCGCCTAAGACCATCCTGCATATCAGATATTTACATTACGATTCATAACAGTAGCAACATTACAGTTATGAAGTAGCAACGAAAATAATTTTATGGTTGGGTCACAACATGAGGAACTGTACTTAAAGGGCCAGAAGGTTGAGAACCACTGGTTCAGAGAGTGTATTTGTTTCCTACAGTCCCTATAACAAATTTCCACAAACTGGGTGGCTTAAGACAACAGAATCTGATTCTCTCACAATCGTGGAGGCTGGAAGTCCAAAATCAGTATCACAAAGGGTTGGCAGGGCTGCACTCCCTCTAGAGGCAAGAGAGGAGGATCTGTTCCTCGCCTCCTCCAGCCTCTGCTGGCCGCCAGGTTCCCGGGCTTGTGGCCACATCATTCCAGGCCCTGCCTCCACAGTCGCATTGCCTTCTCTTCTGTATCAAATCTCCCTCTTCTTCCTCCTCATAAGGATACATGTGATTACATGTAGGGTCCACCTGTGTTATCTAGGATAATCTTCCTTAATCACATCTTCCTTAAAAGCCTCTTTTTCCTTTTAAGATGACATTTACAGCTTCCAAGGATTAGGACCCGATCTCTTCGGGGCGTCATTATACAGCCTAATACAGAGACTTTACAACGCCCCGTGAAAACAGAGCTTAACGTGATCATTTCTTTATTAGCACTTTTCCAATTACAAGTCATCATTACCTTTGTGAATAGGTTGCCTTGCCTTGTGCAAGAAACATGGATGGTCACCAGAAAGATGCTGGTTTCGTAATCTTTGTGAAATCTACTCTCAACAGGAGCCACACTTTGGAGAAGCTTGACTCAGTAGTTGAAAAACTTAAACATGTTGCTCATGTTTGTCTCATGGAAACAAAACAATAGGCTGCTGCTGTCATTAGGGTTAACCATTCATCCACCCCTTTGTTCATCTAGTAAATATTTCCTGCTGCCATGTCGAGTGGTGGCTAAGAGCGCAGGCTGAGGGAGTCAAGCAAATCTGGGTTCAAATCCTGGCTCTACCACTTATTCGCTGTGTGATTTTGGGAACGCTGCTTAGCCTTTCTGAGCCTGTGCCCTTGTGTGTTTTTAAAATGAGATTAAATGAGAAACAAAGTACATAAAGCCCTTTGCCTGGTACATAATAAGAAAATGCTCAATAAACGTTAGTGATTAGCATCCAGGTCTTCTTCAATGACCACATGAGAGAACATGATGGCTCCATTTCTACCGTCACCGAACGTCCTCCTCCAACTAGATGTAAATTCTGTGAGAGCAGGGACTTGCTGTCTTGTTTACTGTTTTGTCCTCAGCATTTAGTACCTGGCATATCTTAGGCACTCAGTTAATACTTTCTGAATGATTGAATGTATGTATGTATGTCATGGAGTTTGCTGGTTTTATGTCTGGAAAATGGCCTGAATGTACGCCTACCACCACCACCACGCTCTGGGGCCTGCCATGCTTCAAAGAGAGGAGCGACTCATTGTTTATTACATATTTCTGTTTTATAAATGGGGATAAGGAGAAAGGAAAAAGGTAAAAATGGAGGTTCTAGATCAGGGGTGGGCAAACTTTTTGACTCGAGGGCCACAATGGGTTCTTAAACTGGACCGGAGGGCTGGAACAAAAGCATGGATGGAGTGTTTGTGTGAACTAATATAAATTCAAAGTAAACATCATTACATAAAAAGGTATGGTCTTTTTTTTTTTTTTTTTAGTTTTATTCATTTCAAATAGGCCGGATCCGGCCCGCGGGCCATAGTTTGCCCACGGCTGTCCTAGATAATGTTTCAGGGCTAGTGTAGTGCAAGGGTTAGTTAGACCAGCTCAGACGGAACCCATGCTGGCTTCTGAGCTGCCACTCAGAAAAGAATACCAACAACACAAAACCATGTCTATCTACCTGTGGGTTTGATCTCTATGCCTCATCTGCAAATATTCCTCCCATCCACAGAAAAATGACCAGATTGCAAACTTCTCAAGGATAAGAGATCCGATCATGCCTCTCTTTACCAGCCTAACCCAGGTCTTCATTCCTTTGACTATATTTTTTGTACATTTTCAAAATACAAAGCATCTAGGACACATAATGGGTGCCCATTCACTCATTCATTCAACAAACCTGTTTTACACACTGACTTTGAGGAAGACCCTGAAGAAGTTCCCAGCCTGGCTGGGGAGACAGATAAATTAATAGGTGATTGCAATGCAGTGTGTAGGTGTTAGAAGATGGAGTGGTAGGACAATGGAGGAAATTCTATTTGGGTAGAAATCAGAGAAGGTTCCTTGGAAGGCACTTGAAGTCTGTCGTGAAGAATGAGTGACAGTTTGCCAGGCAACTTGGGTGGTGGGGGGGTGAGGTAAGGGGAGAATGGAGGAGACATTTCAAGCCGAAGGACCACAAAATGCAAAGTGAGTGTCCAAATCAACGAGCTCCTGGTAGTGTTTCAGCCCAAATCTTCTGTCTTCTGCATGCCCGAGACCTTGCCTGACCTTCTCTTACCGGGGCTCTGTAAATCATGATCTGACACAGTGAAATATGTTCTCCAGGCTGCAGGGTCCTCAGGTCAAGGTAATGGATCACTAGCCAGCCAGTGCCTCTGAGGAGTGAACCAGGGCCTGAGAATCAAGTGTGTGGGCCCCACATTTCAGATGAACAAAAGTAAGGCATGGGGTAAGGCATGTGATATTTACGTTCACAAACTGCAAAACCACTAGTTTGCAAAGTGTCATTACGTCTGCAGGTGGAGGGTAATTTTCCTGTTATTCAAGGACTCCTGATCGGGTTCTGATTGGTGTCTGCAGAATTGTTTTATGACCCAGAGCCAGGCAGCACTAGATACGAGATGTGGTTTGCTGGGCAGAAGTTTACAGGGCAGGAAATTGCTTCACTGGGCACAACCATTCATAAGAAACACCTCTGGGAAAAGAAGACCAGGCTCCTGGCAGCCAGGCTGGCTCTCGCCATTTGTTTACATCAGCAACAACCCGTGTTCCTGGTTACACAATGTGGCAACGTCACTTTGAATGGGGGATCTTTGCTCCTTGGAAGAATAAACACATTCTTCACTCGCAATGGAATTAGCAGACCTCACAGACTTCTCAGTGACTCTCCTGGAGGCCTTAATGTCATAGGAAGGTGACACCTAATAAGTTATACATGATTAGCTGTATAACTTATTCCAAATTCGGTTGAACTTTCCTTTATTTGGCAGTACAGCC